ACTCTAAAACCCTAATCCCTAAGCTTCAGAGCACAAGACTTTAGGGGCGCTTCTGACTTCAGTTGGGCATTACCGTAGTGGTTTAGGGTTTAGGGTTTAGGGTTTTGTCCTTTGTTCTAGTTTGTTTGGTTTTGCTTCATGTGAGCTATAGTCTAAACTCCTTAAAGGTGGTTATTTAGGGGATTATTTAAGGGACTACTATATGGGTTATTAAGGGGGATACTAGGAGTTTAGAGTATAGCTCATGTGCCGTCAGAAGACAACTCTCAAACCATCAGCCTTCACCCCCCCAAGAAAAAGGTTGCTAGAGTTGCTAGAGACCATCGGGGACAATATTTCACCCTCAAGGGTTTGATTGTCTATTCCACATTGCCTACTTAAGTTTACTTGGAAAATGTCCCGCCTCGCATGTCATCTTGGAGCCGCATGTCTATATGAGCTATAGTCTAAACTCCTTGAAGGGAGTTATATAGGGGATTATATAGGGGAGTATCATATGGGTTACTAAGGGGAATACTAGGAGTTTAGACTACAGCTCAAATAAGTCTTCAGACTGCTTCTGCTGGTTGTCGTGTAATGTTAGAGGCTTGGGGCTGCTTTGAGTTCAGATTTGGTAGATTGTATGGCTTAGGGCTCAGAGTTTTACGTGTGAGCAGGCGCTCCTGCAAAGAGAGCCAGTCAACGCTGCCCCTGCTCAAAAAAAAGGACTTGATGAGTGGGGTTATGCCCAAGTTGGAAATGAGACCCTAAACTTTCAACCCTGAAGCCTTCAAGCATGGGCAAAGTCGGTGGATAGCAAGTGGGAATTGTGTTATCATGACCCCTGGCAACCAAAAGGGCTCGTGGGGCTATGTGATCGCTACTAACCTGCAAGGAAGGCCTCGTGGTTTGTCTGGTTCAGGTAGGAAGACGTATATGGGAACTTCCCAAAATTAGGGCTACCTTATTGGGGGTCCCCATAATAAGGATTATAGTATATTGGGGTCTATATTGGGGTCCCCTATTCTGGAAAACTACCATATCTCTATTGTGCTCAATAGCGCAGGGTTGTTTTTGAAAGGATGAACTTTCAGAGCCAAAAGGCCCTTAGGCCTCAACCCCAAGACCTGCACCAGCCTGATCCCTGGTGAGGGTCCTGCACCCAGGACTCTTGAGGGCCCCAAAGCACTAAAGCATTGCAGCTCTTGAAGGCACAATTTGTTCAATCCCAACCCAGGGATCCACAGGCCCAAGCCCAATTTCCCGGCAGCTTCAGGACATTACCACGCCTGTGATGTTTTCAAGATGCCTCTGCGGGATTTCCCGCAATCATCATAAAGAAGGATGTTTGTGCTTGCCATTGTTGCTAGGATCCCAAGTTTTGTCAGTGGCCATTTCAAGCATGTCTTGGAGCGTGCCGGACTTTGGGTCCACATGTGCCCTCTAAACCAAGCAGCATTCATCACAAGCGAGCCATCATCTTGCATGGGACATCTTCGACAGACCACGGAAATTACAGCTGTAACATCCAGCTTCCTAACATCCAAGCCCAAAGCAACACGAGATCTAAATGGCAAGCACGGAAGGCCCCATGACCTAACAACGGAGCCACCCTACCACTACTTGGGTCTTGGGAGCCCGCAAAGGGACCATACGTTGTGAATTTCCATGATGCTTCCAGACAATATCTAGGCTCTTAACCCCAAGGAAAGAAGCGCAGAACTCCTGCAAAAGGGGCGCCCGCGTCTTGAGGAAGGCCCAGAGGGGAATTCCTCAAAGCAAACTCTACGAAGAGGCTCTCTCCCGTTATGAGACGCGTGGTAAGATCCAAGTCCTGCACCTAAACCCACAAGCCTACATATCCTCTGGTCACCGTAAGCTGAGGGTACCCTGTAACTTCCTCAAACGTACATCTGTCCTTATAACCCTCATCACACCTCGCATTGTGTGCGAGAAGCCCCATGTCAAACTCAAGCCAGATCTGGTCGAGAGCTGAAGTTCGAGGAGCGCTTGCTGCATAGCCCCTACCGGCCCAGCCCGTACTTCTAACCTTGGAGACCCGTGAAGATACCTTTTTGCACCCGGAGCATCCCTAAGGAGCCGCTTTGGGCCCTATAGCTATGGGTACTGGAACCTTCCGGGCTGCATCTAATGGTAAGCACCGGGAATTTTGAGAACTTATGGCTTTGGGGTTGTGGATCGCACCCACTTGGAGGTTGTAGCTAGGGTGAAGGTAGACGTAACAAAAACAAGTACAGTGCTGACTAGGCCACTTTCAAGCACCCATACCAGCAGTGAGTAAACAACATCATAGAAGGACCAGTAGCGACTTTGGTGATTGCCCCCCCCAAATAAAGCAGGTGGCTGTTACACGACTATAGTAGGGTCCTAAGTTGGGATTGTTGGGGGTTACCAAAATCCTTTGTTAGAAGGTTGCTGGAAAGGTGGTATCTCAAACTTGGTGTTTTCCATTCATGTAAGAGGAGTTAGGGTTTGGGGAAATAGAGGCAATTACGGCAAGATAGCTGAACAAGTGGAGGCTCTTTCGTGAATGGCACTAGTGTTTCAGCGTCTTCTCAAGCCTGATGACAGCGGCGTACGTGTTTCTGACTTCGTCAGCCGGTTCATGTTTCTTATGTCTCGTGCTGCCCCCACCCTAGAAAGCAGTAAGGCACGTCAGGCTTGGTGCAACGATGATACATGCAATTTCTGTGAGCGTGGGGAGGCTGCCGTCATCACAATCTGTGCGACTGTCATTCATGCCTTGTCACAGCCTCAGACTTTGCTCCTGCCATCCAAGTGTGAGGGATCGGGGTTCAGGTTTTAGGGCAGGATCCCAGAATCCTAGAGGGGATCTGCACGGATTACGTGCGTGGAGATTCTATAGAAGGCGCGCGGGTAGTGTACTTGGTGTAGGGTTGAGAGTGATTCGAGACTCTGCGTAACACAACATGTGACATTCCGACCGCAGTTGTTTCAGGACCCTTTCAGGGTTTGCCCACCAAAATCTGACTCTTAACAGCTCGAGGCTTCTGCATTGAGAGTGCGAGCGCCGCTCCTTCAAACCCTGAAGACAGATCATAATATCCATGAATACGGGTTTCCTTTGTAACCCCCACCATTTTTTGTACGTACATGTAAGCCAGGACCCAGCAAAAAAATCTCACATGCCTCTATGGGCCGCCAGAAAGGTAGCATCATGTTCAGACATTCTAACTTCGGAGACTGGACAGATGAACCTCGAGCCCACAGAGCTACATGTACTGGTTGTTAGTGGAAGGATTTCTATAGTAGCCCAGAGAGGATCAACAACTACTATAGGGGTTATTTGGGGTTATATAGGGGTTATATAGGGATTATATGGTGATTATATAAGGGACAGAGAGAATGGAAAAGAAAATGGAAATTACTATAGTATATTTAGGGTATAATATAGGGTTATCCATGTTGCTTTTCCGTTCTTACCTTCCGCATCAGTGACCGTAAGCCCTTGTTCCCAGGCCCTGTAGTACTTTCCATTTTCTTTTGCGCTCCTGCATTCCCAGCTAACCAAAGGTAACCTCTATATACCCCAGCTTCCATGTCATTTTGGATTTTCCTTTCTATCATTGGGGTATTATTTAATCCTTATATTATACCTTAATATACTATAGTAGTTTCCATTTTCTTTTCCATTACCCCTATCCCCTATAATATGAGCCTTATAACCCTATCTAACCCCCTTTCTAAACTTTAAACCCTAAACCCTATGTAAGCCCATTATCGTAGGGTATTTTATAACCCCCATCTAAGCCAAGGCTGGGCGCGCTGCTTTTGGCCTCTGTAGCCTCCGTGATGATAACTTTGCTATACCCAGGCAGGACCTTTCTTTGGCGTGCTGGTTTTGGGATGATGGAAAAGAAAATGGAAACTTCTATAATGGGGTTATATAGGGTTCACGGTTTAGGATCCCCCCATTGTAAAGAGAAAGCTCCAGGGCCCTGCTGTAGCCTGAAACCAATGAAACCTTTGAAAACCGGTTCAAGACCAAATATTAAGTTCCTGGATCTCAAGCCCAGAAAAAGGTAGCCACAACCTCCTCGTTCCCAGCCAATAATTAATGTTCTTGTGGCAGTTCCCACAGCTTCTGTCCTCACGCAGGCATGTCTGTCACGGGGTGGTTGCTTGACGGGAGCAGGCAAGTCAAGTAGTTTCTGCACGACCTCACCAAATAATTCCATGTCGAGAAGTGAGAAGGCCGTGTATGACTCCCCTCGCCTAACCGACCATGGAACCCTACAAAGCCTTGCTCTAAACGAAAACAGCAGTCTGAAACAGCTCCGTGCTTGAATGGCAGATCATGTAGTCAGAAGTTATCACCTCCTCAGATCGTCCAGGGATCGGCGAGATCCTGAGACATTTCCTTCATTATTCTTGGATGCACTACACCCACTGGTATGCGCGGCGCTTAGAGGGTTGGCTTTGTGTAGTGTTTTGAGTCCCCGGCCCCTTTGCTCTCTTGTAGAAGTCCTAGGGCTTTTCTGTATGCTCCCAGGGGAGGTTTTGGCACCCTCTGAGTCCAGAAATTGCACCTTGTGATCTCAAGTGGCGCTTACAAACAATGGCAGGTGTCGTTGGGGGTCAAAACTGCCAAAGCTTGCACATGTTCCGCCCACGTCCACTGGGTGTGCTTCACCCAGAAGAGTTTGTGCTGTCTTGCAGGGCAAATCAATTCCAATTCCCTTAGCATTTGAGTACACTTTTGGTGTGGTGTTTCTATACTCCTAATAGTAACGTGCATTTTGTGGCTCAGTAAACTCCAAGAAGGGCCTAAAGGGAAAACGTGCTGGTGGTCAGTAGAGAATGTTAACATGGATCCTGATAGTAGCATCTGTGTAACCCTGAAAATTATCTTTGCTGTCCAGTCCATCAATTGCTGCTAACCAGTAGTACGTCAAACCGATAGCCTTAAGCCCCACAACAAGCGTGGCCAGGCAGGATTAGAAAACGCCTTGCAGTAGCTTCCATGTCCTTTTCCCTTCTAGCCACCGCTGAAAACCCAAAAGTGGGTAAACTGATCCAAACAAGCCACTGTTCTACATCCTTCTTGTGTCCTGGTAATGGTAGTAAACCTTATTGCTGAGGACAGGCAGACGCTGAAGCCCATTGGTCGATGGGACGCCTTCATCCTTCACGCCTGAGCCTGGGAGGAGTGATACGGTTATCATTTTTTCCATTATTATTGTTATTACTATTATTGTTACTACTATTATTACTCACATTGTTACCATCATTATTACTTTTATTAATTTGCGTGTGAGGTGTTCTTCCAATGGCATGGGGACTCGTGGGTCGGGATCGGGTATCTAGTTTGACCTGCAGAGTCTTATGATGCGCCGTTTCATGGACTTCCAAGTCCAGACTTTGGGTATGAGTCCGTCATATTCTCTTGGGCTATCTTAGCTGGTTCGCCTCCGGACCCCTGGGAAAAAGCCAAGGTCAATGGATCAGGAGGATCGCAGGTTGAGCCAGCAACCGAAAACATACAGACTGAATTTGAAGTGGTTGTGAACTGCAATCGCTTCTTCTTGTAATCGCTTCTTCTATAGTTCCTGACATCACTTTTCGGCTTGAACTCGGATATTCGCATAGAGAATCTCCATGGAGTGCTAAGATCTGACCTTTACAAGCTCTGTCAGCTTATGACGCCCAGGTCAGAGACTTGCAGCTCATCCATGGCTTCCACGTGTCTATTGCTGCTCGCCACAACTCCATGAGTGCTACGCGCGCCCAAGACGGCTAACTTATCCATACCTCAAGAACCCCAACGTCAATGTTTTTTTTTTTTTTTCTGGTTTTGAGGTCCCCAAGACAGAATGGGATTATATCCGCCTTTTGGTAATGGAATAAGGACAATACAGAATGAGCTCTTGTTGGATATTTCGTAGGAAGAATACGAGGCTCCTTGCTTGTATCGACCGAGGATGGCCGTCATCAGGAGGAGCTTTCTGCAGGGATTGAGGAAAGAATATTTGTGGCAGTTCTTATCTTGGGGCCCTTCAAAGGGGTCAAGCAGGGATGCCGGAATATAAATACGGTGTATATTATTTTATATAATGGACCGGAAAATTGAAACTAAACGAATATTCAGAGCATGTGGGACTGCCTGTAACCACGGGTACCCACAGTTTAATCGAGTACTTGAGAACAAGGGGTTACTACTGCTAAGCTGTAATCTGTGTGGTTACAGGCAAGGTTTGTGCCTGTGCACTGAAGGCTCAGAGTGCTTGGGCTTAAAGGATCATATCTGTCGAAATCGGATGCTACATGTGGAAGGTTCTAAAGTCTTTTCGTTCCCTAGAAAAACAGGGATCCTGAGCATTTGGGGCAACTTTCAGAGACCCAAGTCTGCGACATTGTTGTATATAGGGATAATGGAAAAGACAAGGGAAATTACAGGGATTATATAGGGGTTATATATCACAGCAGTATGGAAGCAGAAGTGGACGAAGGCATTGGGCTTCGAAGACAACGACTATGGCTCAATCGCTTTGGGCTTTTCCGTTTAGAGCTTAGTGCCTAGGCTCGTAAGGCTGCTTCTGTAAGCTTATGGGTTGTTCGTATGGAATGGATACTTAAAGTAGTCCCTATATCCTCCACGAGAATACATTGTCGAGTTTATGTTTCGTCCCTTCACCCCCTCGCCTACACTAGCACGTAAGAACGTATACTTGGACCTACGCCAGCTAGCAATACATGCAGCTCTACAGTCATTAAAGCATGCTGCTCGCATGCCCAGTACTGTTTTACCTGTGTATACATACACACACATACATACATACCTACCTACATACCTACATACCTACATACCTACATACCTACATACCTACATACCTACATACCTACATACCTACATACCTACATACCTACATGCCTAC